ACATACATACATACATACATACATACATACATACATACATACATACATACATACATACAGTACATCATTCTGGCTTCTCTTCAGTGGCAGATCTAGGATTTTTCTAAGTAAAGGACCATCAAGGGGCCATCAAGCGGTCACAATATTCATAGAGGGTCCAAGTTCAGTATTCTTGCACACAAATCCCTGGTTTTGGTAGCTTGCACAGTAAATTCTCCCTACCAATTTAACATGCATTTTTAATGTACATAGATAAAATACTCTCAAAGACAGCATGTGAGAAAATGTAGCCATCATTGGTGAGTTTAGAGACTATTTTCTGCAGGGTTACATGATGRCATGATGTTTCGCAATCACAGTTTCTCATTATATGGCTGACTCACTTCACAAGTCTGGTATCGGTATAATGCGGTATCATATCTCCTATTTGCTAAATGACAGTGCATATTATATTGACTGACATCTGGCATATGATGACAATAAGAACTGATGGTTTTGTTTTGCCTCCATGCACARTAACTGAATCATTAAGAATCATTAATCATTTAATTGATGTCTGTTGATGTACTGTTACGATGTGAMATTAATAGTTAGATTATTGACCAAGAGCATTAAATATAATAATGTGCAGCATGGGATAGGGGTGGTGGTGATTAATAATACTTAATAATTAAATAAATGCAGAATCAGAAATACTTTATTAATCTTTTGAAGCAATTTAGTATCTAACCCGCCAAGTAAGGGTAGATAAAAGTAGATTAAAAACAGAATACTATGAAATAAAAAAGAATCCGATAGAATATTTATTTAATCTACAGTAGTTTTATACATATTTGTACTGTAGAATGAAATGTACATGTGGACAATGTTTGTTACAATTACCCAATTTTGTTTTATCTTAATTTGGTTGCAGACAGGTACACACATCTACACAGATTTTAATTTGTCGCAATCTTATTTTAATCTTCTAGAGCAGTGGCTCCCAAACTTTTTGTCTTCTGACCCACAAAATATCCATGGCAAAAACTTGTGACCCCAAATATTACTGGTCTGAGTACACGAACTTTGTTAAAAACCCTAAAAACACAGGCTTTCTCACAATATAAACAGCCTATACACAAATATAAATACTCATTTTTACTTATTTTGGGTTTTTGTAATAATTATAGGGAAAATATTACATCAGCAATTTTTTATTACCCTTTAAATTGATTTCTGGAGATTATCCAAGGTGCTTCATGACCCATAATT